AGAGAGAGAGAGAGAGAGAGAGAGAGAGAGGGAGATCGAGGCAAATAAAAAACTTAGAAATCCGTTTTTATTAAAAAAAAGATCAACCCATCCATGAGCGGTTCAATGGACCAGCCGATCATGGTCTGGTATACTGCTTCCCAACTCGAACTGGCCAATCCTATCATGTTCAAACAACACTGGTCCGTAATTACATGCACTATACCTATGAAACTGTTTTTGGTATCACAAGAGCCTTTCGTGGTGGAAAGACTATCAACTACAGTTGACTACAATGCAGGAGCAGAAGAAGATCAAAGAGATGGCTTTCCAAGGGTTTAGGAATGGAAATGTTGTTGAACACAAGTTTCATCCAAACTCGAATTAGGTTCCACCCTAGAGAGGGGAGCCGCATCCTTTTCTGACAGGACCGATGGCTTGCCCATACTCCACTCAGGGACAGGTTCCCAGATCTTTGCACTCTCGCTTGCAGATAGGGGGCTACTGTAGCAGATGAGATGATTCTGGCAGGGTCTTTGCCATCTTGGAACCTTGCTTTCAGAAGGGATCTTAACGAACTGGAAGTTATCCACTTCACCGAACTAGCGGCCAAGCTCCAAGCCATCTTTATAGCAGACTCAGGTCCAGATCGTATTATTTGGCCCCCAATGGGCTCCACGAACTTCTTACTTTCCTCTTTCTACCAAAGCCTATCTCAGGTCATAACCGTACCAGTAGCTCCTTCTTCTTCTGTTTCACAGGCTTGGGACTCCTTCGCTCCTCCCAAAATTAAGATTTTCATGGGCCAAGCCCTTTCCCAAAGGGTGCTTACAATCGATCAATTACAACGCAGAGGCGTACCTATTCCAAATCGATGTGTCTTGTGTTTCGCAGCAGAGGAAACAAATGACCATCTGTTCTTGCACTGCCCCTTCGCCTACAACCTCTGGGGGGAATTCTCAATCTTTTGAGTATCCAATGGGTTACACCTGAGCATGTTTCGTCCGTCGTCTCATCCATCCAGCCCTCCCTTGGCCTCAATCAGGGATTTTACTTTGGAAATCAATGGTGGCAGCCACTATATGGGCTCTATGGTTTGAGCGAAACAGTAGAATCTTCCGGGGCGAATACTCCCCATGGATTAAAATCCTCACCAAGCTCAAATCCATGGTTGTTTTCTGGGCAACCAATCATCACCGCTTCACAGGAGTCCCCACCTCAGCTTTCTTCCAAGACTGGAGCACAGTCCTTAGGCATAATCCCAAACACCCCGCCTGAGGTTCCCTATGGACCCCCCCCTCCCTCCCCCCACCATAGGGTCGACTTAACCTAAACTTCGACGGGTGTTCCCTCGGTAATCTAGGACCATCTGGAGTGGGAGCCATCATTAGAGACCATCTTGGCACTACGGTGACTTCCACTTCCATTCACATCGCCCACACCAATTCTATGGAAGCCGAGGCATTGGCTCTCCTAGAAGGACTCAAGCTCCTCCAACCACTCTGCCTGAACTCTATCTCAATTGAGGGAGACTCGCATAATACCATCTTGTGGGCCCAAAAAATCCCTTCTTCATCCCCACCCTAGTCCCTTGCGCATATCTTTGATCAGATTCATTACCTATGCAAGGATATGGACGTCTCATGGATGCATACCTGGAGGGAAGGCAACTAAGAAGCAGATGCCCTAGCTAAAGAAGCGGCAGATTTTAGTAGCTTCGTTGTTTCTTTTTTAGGCTTTTTTGTATCAGTTTCTTTTTCTTGGTTGATGTTTATATACTGTAACCTCCAAAAAGAAGGCTTTTGGATTCCTCATTTTGGTTGTTTACTCACTTCCCTAGAGCATCCGTCCTTGTGGATTATCTAGGTCTCTTGTACTCTTCTTACTAACTTAATTTAAGGTTAACATTACCAAAAAAAAAAACATAAGTTTCATATTGTCAACAAAACAGTAACCCATAAATTCTAGTGGCAAAAAACATGGCCAATTTTGACCAAATACACAAGGATGATCATCCAATCTTCAACAAATTTATGATTGTTGATCATCAACTTGCTTAAGGGTTTGAGCAAATTTATGTAATACTTTTTTGTTCATTTTTATGCTTAGCAGCACTAATCTCTCATCATTACTACAATCTAGAATCTTAGTAACTTACTACCAAATAAACTTTATTCGTATCGAATACAAACTTACAATTTTAAGAATAAAAATAAGACGAGGAATTGAAAATAAAAATAAATAACTAAGGGAAGACTTACTGACTTTTGTTTAGGGTTACCCCCTTAAAGCTTAGCACACCCCACACCCGATCACCTGATCAATGGTGCACTCTATCCTAGAACTTGTTAAATCCACCAATTTGAACTAGGAAGCACCTTTAGGAAACCCTTATCAAAAAAAAAATTTCTCTTTTGGGGTGGGGAGGGGGGGGGGGAGGGGTTAAGAGAGCTAGGGTCATGATCAGGGTTTCACGAAGAACCCTATTTCATTTGGGGCATTGCCAAGATGGCAACTCCCCTAAAACCAAAAATAGAGTTGGGAGCCCTCTACCTCTCTAGGTAGGTGCATGCCACCCCAACACTTATGGGGGGTGGCATACCACCTGTTAGAGAGGCGAGGGGAGCTAGAGAGAGAAATGAGAGGAGAGAAGGTGGTGTGGAGGAGAGAGAGAGGTCCGAGAGATGTGTAGAGAATGAGGGGGTGACCCCCTCTCCCTTCTCCACCCCTGGTCCCTCTCCTTTATATAGGCCTCAAGGGCACTAGAGAGTCCCAGTCAAATTAGGATTCAACATTACCACTATAAGGGTTTCCAATTCAAATTAAAATATTTTAACAATCTGGAAAAATACCCAAAAATAATAAGAGGACATTTTTAGTTAAAAACAATATTTCTAGTGTCTTTAACCCAACAAGACCCATGACCCATAATTAAGTGCAGGAGCTCATGATTGACCCGTCTGGCCAATAAACAGTAGAACCATAGTCTTAGTATGTGTATTACAGTCCCCCCCTTAAGAGCAAGTCAAAATGCTTTGATCCAAATAGTTGAACGCATCATCCATGCAAAAATTGATCTAGTTTCCATGGGCTTTTCCTTGAGATTTTTGAGAATAATTGACTAACATTTCTCCAATTATTTTCGCATTCAAATCAGTCAATTAAATCATGATTTTGATGGATCAAATTGTTGTTTCCATAAGAGGAGATTATACCAAATTTGTATGGCATGTTTTATTAACTCATTGAACCAATTTGTGATTTGTGTGTCATGTTTTCTTCCACAAGTTCCACTTGCCTTTTGATCATTTGATCTCTGCAAATCCTTCCATGTTTCAAGTGTCTATCAATAAATGTTTGGCTTCCCACCTTTGATATGATCAATTTGGCCGAATTTTGAGTAATGCCAATGCATAGCACTCTATGGCACATAGCTTAGACCCAAGGCCGTAGATCGGGCACCCGAGTGCTCCAATCGGCTTCCCATGAACATGTTGCGTTATTCACTTTAACATATGTGTGTTGTAATATTGGAGATCATGTTTTCTTGAGTTCTATAAAGTCAATTGATATACAATTTTGCCTTGTGAATTTCAAAGATGCAGAATTTTTAAATGCACCTCATACTTGTCTAGTTTGATGATCTGTATGTATAGTTGGATTTGTCGATGAACAAAGGACCCAAGTTGAGTCATATCCTCCTATTTTTTAATGCATAAGAAGATTTTTGTTTACTATAATTATAGTCATGTTGCTGTGATTTTAAGTTATGTCAATTTGAGGTCTGTTGTACAAGTTTTGAGTTGTATTGTGTTGTATTTTTGACATAGTTCAAGTGCTAGTTTATGTAATTTGGTTTCTATGAACTCTCACTCTCAGACCTCAACAAGGGATGACCCACAATAAACTCTAAATAGTATTGGCTATGCCTAGGGGTAAGGGTTTTGGACATGAGCTGGGCCATAAACCACCCGATCATAGGTCAAGTGAAATGCCTATGCTCCTGCTGAAGTGTAAAATCCACTATAATATTTTGTTTACATACTCTCAAGGGCTTTAAAGGCTACAAACCCCAACATAAAACAGCTTCAACATTGTTGTGTATACTTAGATGAGTTGCTGGGATTAGATTTATACTGAACACGCATTCATCCACCATAAGTTGCTGGGATTAGATTTATGCTGATCAAGCATTCATCCATGATATCTGAAGTACTCAATCTATGATAAGTCATACGATGAACTTAATTATTGATATTATGTATAGGTGAGGTTCACATAAGTTTGCCTCCATATACTGTAGAATTAAAGCACACTTCTAAATTTTGCCTGGCGATGTAGTTTTATTGTCAGAAACATTGTGATGGTTTGAAAAACCTTAGTCATAAAATTGAAGATTCCAAAAATGGTAAAGATCAAGTAGATCTATAAAAACTGAAAATCATGAAAAAAGATGGTCTAGATAACTTGTTATAAGATGAAATATTTTTTGGACTTGAAATTCTTTTTTCTCGTAATATCCATACAAATAGAAGTTATGATGATGAATTAGAAGGTCCTCCAACTTTGGAATACTCTTTTCTATTGGATTTTTGGGGTGCACTTACTTCTATAGTATAAGGTTGCAATATTATATAAACATTTACCATTATTTATTAGTTTTTGTAGATCCCAAATAATTTGGATAAGGTTCGGATGATGATGATTTATTTTAGCTTTTGTAAAATATCAATGTGCAAAATGTGTTGCTCCTAGGACACTAGAATACATAAGATAGATAACAAAAACCATGTTCTAAGAAGAATCGATGGCAAAGCACAACATAATCAATAGTAGAGCAACTAGACATCACCACAGAAATACTATCTCAAGAAACCACCAAACTTATAAATAAAACCAAAAAATAAATGAACTTTGGAAATGGGATACTCCTGTGTAACGCTGAAGTTAAAATATTCCTTGAATACCTGCACATGAGACACATATGACAAGCCGGCAGCTTCAACAGTGAGAAGAAGACCATGCAAAGACCAAGCTTGAAGGAAAGCATTTGAGCTTTTAGCCAGCAATGAAATTGAGTTCACAGTTGCAGGAACCAAAGTAGATAGTGCCATTCCTCCTGCACTGCATGTAAAAGTTGCCAAAGACAGTATCCTTCAAATAATGCTACACAATTATAATCCTAAAATATGTATATTCAATGGCAAAAATAGAAAACACCCTTTCTGATTTTAAATTATGCATAATAAAGTAACTTCTGCGAACAATATTAGTTTCAATTGTAACACTGTATTATAGGACCAATTACACACGACAGTATATATGTGGCACTCTAGTTGCTATACATGAAAGATGGACAATGTGATCTAGCCAAGCATATACAGTTAAAATTTTTCTTGTCATTCTTTAATTCATATCGGCTAGAACACTTATAGGTGTCCAAAATTACAACTTTATTCATAAAATAAACCCCAATACAATTTAGGATCTTCTCTTGCATCTCATTGCAATTCTTTACAATCAAACAAAAATACAATACATGAAGAATCAAGAAACATGGAGCAATTAGAATACCAAATACCTTGCCTCAAGTTATCCCTAAGGACTTCGTACACCCCACACCGTGTCTCCTCCGCCAATGGCACATGGGATCTTGGTCTTAACCTTGTCTCATAATTCGAGAAGCCTAAGCAAAACCTCCGGAGAGCATGATAAGGGATGGAAGCAACTCAAAGCACAAACAATCATATGCTCAATCTCTAAGCCTAGGGCGTGCCCGTTAGGGTTTACTCAAGGCTCAAAACTTACTCAAACCCCTAACTAGAGAGAGAGAGTGGGGTGTACCTGCCAATGGGAGAGAGAGAGGTCAACCTTGTCTACAAGTGTGTAGAGTAAACACCCATAAAGAATATTCATAGAGAGGAGGCTAGGGTTTTAGGGTCTAGGGTTTAGCCATGATTATGAGACTTAATCTTGACTGTAGATCATGGAGACTTGTGGGGTGAAGAGATCTTAGCCCTTCATTCTTTAGATCAGCCATCATGATTAAATAAATGAGCTAGAATCATTATCTCTCAATTTCCATAATTCTATTCCATCAAATATTTGTGTAGAAAAAATATTATGTATTTACCTATTTCAATCAATTGCTACACCTTCCTATTTCAAAACAATCAATCCTCATTTCATAAAACCTTCCTTTCAATTTTAAATCAACTACATAACTTCCATCACAAGCCACACTAAAAAAGAAAGAGGAAATACGTGGGGCATCCCACACATGGTGGGCAATGTGGGCCCCACACCCCCACCTAATGGGCTCACATGTTGTGGGCCCAAAGTTCTAATGGGCCCCACACCTTAAATGGAATTTTAGATTAATAAAATAAATTTTACAAAACCAGTAGATATTTTTCTTTCTCGCTGAATTAAATAAATCCAGAAAATTCATTTTTGTTTATTTAAAAATAAATTTTCACTGAAATAAAATATCTAGAAACCACATCTCACTATCATCTTCTCAAACTGATCCAACAGTTCCCATTATCCACAACCTTTCGCAAAGGTTCATGCTTCGACTATCAAAGTCAGCCAATAAATGAAAGAGACACGATTCTAGCCTATGGATTACAGGTTCCTCCCTGAAGACAAGTCCAAGCCCCATTCTAGCACAATACCTCATGGGTCCTTCCAACACAGTCCGGTGTTGCAGGGAGACATCTCTTCGGCACATGTACAAGACACACCCTCACCCAGAGGCCTACTTCTTGGACGACTATCTAGTGTACATGCCGTACGATGGTAATGATGGGGATTTCGCCCTTCTCTCCAGCTAACCACTGCACACAGGGGTCATATACAGTCTTTGGCCAACCACCCTAAGCACAACTCCGACCCCATCAAGGGATGACCCCACATCAAAACCTTATCGATTGTGCATAAATACCTAAGGCTACGGGGTTTTTAGACATCAACCTGAACCATAGCCTATCAAAACTTATGGAGTCATGGCATCAGCGATGCCTCACAATCCACCCTGGACCATGCCACACAGTCCATCCGGACCACGCTCCCATTGGAGCTATAACATTACTATAGTCATAGTTTTACATGCCCTCATAAGGCCTTTAAATGGCCACATAACCCCAACAGTACGCGTATTGATGTATTTTAGTCATACACGTACTTGAAGTCAGTGATGAAATTATGCGTTAAAGAGGACCATGGTTTGCATAATGAGAATTTTTCCTTCACATCCAAATCAGAGTTTAAAAATATCAAATTGTTAGCTGGTACCAAGGCGAACCAAATCTAACATTCTAGATAATAACACATCTCATGCTGGGTAAGTTGTCTTTGCACCTCGTAAACTACACATGATTAACACATCATACATTAATAATGGAATAAAAAGTAAACATTTCAGAACAGACAAAATATACTAGATCCAGGAATATAAGTTTGTAACAGTTTGCAGGGGGGTAACAGGTCGGGTGAGGTTCAGGTCTAGCCAGACTCCGAACCAACCCAAAAATAAAAAATATATGTATATTTAAATATTATGTTAAATATATACATGTATTATTTAAATATTATAGCTAAAAATATATAGTTATATTTATTTAAAATATTACATATCAAATATTATTTAAATAATAATACCATTGGGGTCGGTTCCAATATTTGGACCCGGACCCGGACCCGGACCCGGACCCGAACCCGACCCACCAAGTCCAATTTTTGGACCCATACCTGGACCCAGGTCAGGTCCAGCCATCGAGTCCTGGGTCAGGCCTAGGTCCATTGCCACCCCTAATAGTTGGTCCTATAAGCAGCCATAACATACACTCGAGGCGTACTATCAACTAAACTAGAATTTCGTGAATTATTTCCCAAAGGAATTGAATCTAATATGGAAAAGGAAAATTGGCAATTCAATTCTTAATAGACATTGCTATCTTTCCATCTTTTCTGCAATTTCAAATGCTAATGGTACACAAACCGATACCACTAGGCTACAGAAATTGATTCAAAAGAATAAGAATTAAAGGCTCCTGAAGATTACCTGCGATGTATGCATCCAAGTGCAAGTGCTATTGATCCAATATAATTCAAATCCGAGTTACCAGGAAGATCTGCCAGCAGGGATCGAGTCTGGATGCAAAGAAGTAATAGGTGCACAATAGGAACGAAAGAGATATGAACTACATAAAAGAAATTGAGTGTACATTCTATATGGCGACAGCAATTAAAATGAATTATGATGCAAAAAATGCAGAGATCAAATGATGAGCTAATATACAGAGAAGCAGACAGTAGGAGATGCAGAAAAAAATAGTACAAAACCATGAATAGAAGGTCCTTTTCCCTCTAAGCATGCAGAAGTGAAGGCCCGGCAATATGGACTTTTGGAGACAGGAACAATTCAATGCAAAATACGATTTATTATAGAGAACAAACCATTCGTGCAGTGAAGGCATCATTCCCAAAGCGAGCTAGCAAACCAAGGCCCTCTGATGCCGCTCTTCGCTGTGCCACAGTTACATCTCCTTCTAAAAGAACACCCTAAAGTAGTCAAAAATCTGTTAGGTAGTAAGAAGTTAAGCAGGCAATATAGCAGTAAAATCCCTAACCTATGAGAAAATTCCACAAGGAGGAAGACAGTAGTACTGGTTTCATTATGCTCAAGTACCTGCAAGATAGATTGGACTGCAGATAGTATCTCCATACCCAATGCCTGGGTACGCAATGCAAGTGAAGCCTAACAAGGGACAAGAAACAAGCATGAGCATAAGGAATCACGAAATATCACCAAAAAAGAACCCGAGGTACACACACACACACATATATATCTATATGCAGCTGAAGATCACAAACACCTTTAAACCCGCAAGAAGGCCAACACAAACATTGGTGGTGAGAGCTACATGCCAAGATTGCCTCTTTCCAGTTCTCAACGGCTGCTCAATTGTGCTAAGAAGCCTTAGTTTGCTATCTGCATCCTGAAAAATGAAGAATATTTGAAGTCCTCAGTATATCCCAAAGCTCAAAGTTATTTAGTGTAAGGAAAGGAAAAGTCAAGTGACCAGTCTCTACCTGAGTGGCAAAGACGGTACCAAAGCAAACGAGCATATGGTTAACCAACATCTTGCTCAAGGCCTCGGGCTTCATGAAAACATTAAGTTAAGTATTAGAATTGAGACATGGAAAATTCAGGGGGGGGGGGGGGGGGGAGAGAGAGAGAGAGATTTGAGAAGATAATACTGATGAAAGATTCCCTATCATCTCCACCAACTACAATAAAACTTAGGTGCGAGCTACAAAAACTATTAAATGAAATATATAGATGCCGAAGACCTATTTCCAAGAACAAACGAGACATACAAAATTGTGCGAACCATCGAAGGATCAAACTTATGAGGCACGCAACTATGAAGCTGCGGGGGGAGAATGATTGAGTAACGACTAAGATATGAAAAGAGTGTATCAGAAAACTAATTCAGTTTTATGCTAGGGAGGTCAACAATTGAGGCTATTTTCCTACTTAGGCCATTGATCAAGAAGTTTAGGGTGAAGGAAAAAGACCTCCACATGGTCTTTAATGATCAAGAGAAAACTTACGCGAGATTTGTTTTGGGGGGTGTTGGAAAATAAATGAATTTCCAAATATTATTTCGATCATAGTTACCGAAATGATTCGGAAACCAAATCGATTTAAGAATCAAAAGCGCAAAATCATCACTGACTGGTTCCTGTTTTCTAAATCAATGTCTGTACAAGAGGAATTGAGGGAGACAAAATTCTGATTTTCAAGAATCGAGATTCGACCAAAATAGAATCAAGATCCCTACATAGATGGAATCGAGACTCCGAGCTCTTTGGAATCGAGGTTCCGACCTAATTGAAATCGACCAATATGGCATCAAGATTCTTTCATTTATGGAATTGAGAATATGAATTTTTAGGAATCGAGAGCGAACGAAGAGGAAAACAATACACATCTCAATGCCATTCATTAAACGACATGCTATACATGCACGTTTACAATATCTGTGTTACAATATTTTTAACATCTTGGAGTTGTAATCTCTCCATTAGACCAATACAAGGCATAATTAAATACTTAACTAGAGAACGCGAACCAACACTGCAATTTCTATTGGTCATTTCATGCCAAAAAAGATGACTACACCTCATAGCTTGAGATTGGGTGTCTAGCGTGAGTAGTTTGATGCCTTGAAAAATTTTAAACATCACTTCTGAAAAAAAAGCAAACCAGTAAAAAAAAAGAAAAAAACGCGTGGGGGGGGGGGGTGGAGGGAAGGGGTAGAATTCCAAAAAATGAGGAAACCTGTTTCATCAAGTGTGGAATCAGAATTCACCAATTGTGGAATCGTGAATCACTAAATATTGGAAATAAGATTCTATAAGTGTTGAAGTTGAGATTCTTAAAATAAGAATTGAGATTCCGGACTTCATGGAAATGGCATCTGTGAAGAATCCTGGACGGAATTATTGAATCGGGATTCTGAATCGCCGAATCAGGATTTCGAAGAATCACGACCTTTGCTGAGAGATTTGGGTAACTATAATATCGACTTGGTGAAAGATATGTACGAGGAAACACTAACTAGTGTGCGAACAACTAGTGGAGTGACGAGTGAGTTTTCAGTAACAATTGATTTACATCAGGGGTCAACGTTGAGCCCAAACCTATTTGTCTTAATTATAAATGAGATAACTAGGCACTTACAAGATGAAGCATTGTGGTGTATGCTGTTCGCAGACGACAAAGTTTTGATTGATGAGACCTGAAGCGGCATCAACACAAAGTTAGAACTTTTGAGGAATGCTCTAGAATCTAAAGGTTTTAAAATTAGTCGGACTAAGACATATTAGTCAGTTTAGTAAAATAGGAGTAGAGACGAGGAAGTAGTTAAGATTGACGGTCACGAAATACAAAAGAGAGCTCACTTTCGACATCATGGATCGATAATCTAAGAAAATTGAGAGATTGAGGAAGATATCGCACATAAAATTAGAGCTGGGTGGGCAAAGTGGAGATGTGCAAACAGAATTTTATTTGATTGCCGCATACAAAAAGAGCTAAAGGGAAAGTTCTATAGAACAGCTGTGAGACTAGCTTTGCTTTATGGGGCAGAATGTTGAGCGGTCAAGAAACAACATACCCATAATAAATGTAGCTGAGATAAGGATGTTAAGATGGATGAGTGGCAAAACAAGAAGGGATACAACTCAAAATGAATACATTTGGGAGAACTTAGGTGCGGCTCTAAGGCGAAAGACAAGAGAAAGTAGACTTAAGTGGGCTGGCCATGTGCAACACAAACCCAGTACAACACCTGTTAAGAGGTGTGAGTCGGTTCAAGAGGAAAGCTCGGAAAAGACAAGGAGTAGACCCAAAAGGATATAGTTGAAAGTAGTGAGAAAAGATATGGGGACCTATGGCCACATTGAGGGTATGACCCTTAATAGGGCAGAATGGCGAACCAGGATTCGTGTATCCGGCCCCAAATAGTTGGGAAAAGACTCTAATGATGATGATGATGATATAGATGCCAAAGCAAGAGCACTCCTAATAGGCCTCAAAAGTTTCTTCCAATCCTTAAAACACTCATGGACATTGAAAGGGGATTCACTAAATGCACTAAATGTCATACAATGGGGCCTACTAAAAAGATAAAATACTTCTCAACCCACCCATACTAATGTAGATGGCAAATAAGCATATTACAAGGTAGACACACACACTTGGGAGAAAGTTCAGGGGGCTCCCTCTTGATTGAGAACTCCTTTTCTCAACCCTAAACTTTTCCATGTTTTAATTATCTCCTAATTTTGATATTGGAGATGTTACATTTCCATGCAATTGAGTATAACCATTTCAGCTGTGTGACCTATCAAAAAAAAGTATCACATGGCATATAATCATACAATGCTGGTCTCCTGGAGGACCCATTTTGCTCAAAATCTTATTCTCACAAGCCATATTCTGGCCTTAGAAACCACAAGCGGCCAGGGCATGTGAACAACAAACTGTGGGTGACCATGGAGGCAGCATATTGTTTAACATCATTCTTGGGAGCAAGAGTGCAATCCCTGAGAACGGTCTGGCCCTCTAAGGTTTTGAGAAGGAGAAAAAAACATCACGAAAGTACAAGCAGAAAATCAGCACTATGAATATCTTCCAATTCTTTTTTGGATCAGAAATTTTATTTTATTGAATGACATGTCAATAGAAGTATATCCTACACAAAAACGATTCCAAAAAATTGCTGTTACAAGCTATACTTAGTGATCACTAGAGATGGTTTGTGGGCACCATCTTTGGCCCAAAAAATCAGCAATCCTCTTTGGTTTAAATATCTCCTCAAAGAAAATTTTAAATTGCCATGGATATCAGCTCTCCCACTAGCCCAAATAATAGTATTGGCCAAGTTGCATCAATTTGTATCATCTTCCAACTTGCGCCTATACATCTCAACCCTGTAAGTAGGGCCCACTTCTCCGTCTCACTGGAATATCTTGAACTTGATTACCAGATGTGGGAGTAGGACCAGGAGCAGGAGCAAGGGTTGTCCTTTAAGACAAACTCCATACTTCTGAGAAATCATACCGTAAATATAAAAAAAAACTACTAAAAATATTTATAAATTTGTACTACTTAGATATACACATCATAAAATCCACAAAAAACCACTGATAGAACTTATTGAAAAACTGTTAAGCCATGAAAGGGCAGAAATTCACAAATGTTTGTTACATATATAAGCAGTCAAGTACTGATTAAAAAAAAGAAGCAACAAAGTCCAATACAATTTACTAACATTTTTGAATAAAGAAGTATCCAGTGAAAATATTTAATAGTTGTACAAGAGAAATAGAACAATTACAGCTCAGTTGCAATCAGGATATGTACACGTATAGATTTTCAACATTCAAATATGTCCACTCAAAACAAGAAACAAAATGTTTGTGTCAAGCAGAACAATCTAAAAAAAATTGCCTATGGGTGTCATTACGTGTTCAATACAAGTACAACTTTCAAACAGAAGAACACAAAGTAACATGGCTTCCCAAACAGCATAATCGGCAAGGGGTATTGAAATTTGAAATGCACCCTTGATTGCATAACAGTCTGAGATTCTTCCAAAGAATAGACAGGATTCCATTCTTAAGCCATTTCCGAAGACTGCAGCAAATCCTGAGTCCTATGCTAAAGGACTCGGAAAGGATTTATAAGGTCTGCCAAGATATGACATTTCATACATAATAAAACTTTGTAAAAGGAGAGAGAGAGAAAGAATGAACATTCCTTACCAGAAAGAACATGTGGACTTATACAATGACAGATATATACACAAGAATATTCATAGATAAGGGACCACATAATCCAGCATAACAAAGAACAGGGGATGCATCCATAGCATCATGAAAAATGACAATGTTTAAACAGGTGAAACTTCTAAGCCATGGGAATGGACCAACTATCTGTCAATTAAATACTGGGACCTTGTACAGGGTACGTGACACAAATTCAAGACCAAACCTCCCCAATGAATAATAAAGCAATGTCCAATCGAATATCAGTTTTTTCCCACTCCCATCACATCTCCCCCTTACATCCTAGGAACTTGTGCTAATTGACTTCATCATTGCAAGTTCCAAAGAGAAGTTATCAGAAGGAAGAAAATATCACCTGAGGAAAGCTTGGAAGTTCATTTTCCCATACACAAGGCATCAATTCATCGGCACCCCCTTCAAAAGCACGCAGTTCATCCTCAAACCAATCCCTGAAATTGACCATCAGTGATAGTGAATAATGGAAATATCCAAAGTAAAGTTTCAAAGTGGGCAAACTGACTGGGCATAGTTCGTAAATGACAAATATATCGACAAGAGAAACTCTCTTGTTATTGACCAAATGAAAATAAGAAATCCCCCAGGTTACATAATATGACCCATAACCATGACGAATCAACATGCATACAACAGCATTAATCTGTAACCAAAAGACAGTGTAAAGCTTAGACAGAAAAAGTCACCTTCCAGGAACCCAAGGGCCAAGGCATGCATCTCTCTTATCTAACAACATTCTCAAACTTGAACTTTCTTCATACTTCGATGGTTCCCTTTTGAGATCCAAGCAAACAAATAAAAAGGAAAAGGGTCAATAGTACTAAAAATAATAAAAAATTGGAAACAAGAGAAAAGCCAACTTAAATAAATTCAGAACACAAATATATTGATGCTATCATCAAGATGTATAAACAAGTGTTATTTAGTTCTCATACAGACCAATGGTAAGCAAGTAAAAATTAGGAAACTGATTGACCTGTATGGACTGGTACATATTTGAATAAGCTGAGGATGATCACATTTATATGCCATCGGATCGACAAGAGACTTGTAAGCCACTAAAGTTCTGATGATGAATAGATCCATTACAAGCTTGAGAGGTTGCAGATAATTGGATGGTATCAATGATATATAGGACAGTGCCCTGGCATCCACCACAAACAAATGTTGCATTACTCATAAACATAAACCAAGAGTCAGGAAATCATGGATTCACAAAAATCATAAAACGTGGTACTCCACCTATAAAACAAGCACAAATATGCTCATAAAGACCCACATTTGCAAAAGCACATATATATTTTCCTAATGGCTTTGAAACTTGGTAACATTCAGCTATTATATCATCTGAGAAGAAAAAAGTACAATCTATAGCAAATATAGTGTAAGCAGTGTAAGGCAGACAAGACTACTCTTAGGTCCCCACAAAAAAAAAAAAAGGTCTAAACACTACTGAACACCAGCCTCAGAAAGAACAACGAGAACCTACTTCACAGAGAGACAGGAACACTTCCACCGTATTTTCAAGAATCCGATGGATATTATTGCACTGGCAGATATACAGCTTCTCAATCACTTTGGTTGCCAATCACATTTCCATTTTATTGGACTTCCTATTCACTTCACTCAGGTTTAAAACCTTTGCTCTCCATATATTAACTCTCGAGATCGTCACCTAATACAAGCTTAAGAGAGAAAGACCATATCTCCTGCCTAGATTAATCGTCGACTTCCAAGACTTTTGGTAGACAATTTTATGGTTGTCCTTTTAAGAGCACGTTTCTGAACTAAGCACTGAAATCCACTTCACAGGCCACTTCTCAGTGTCTTGGACACGCTTACACTTAATAGGCTAAACTGAGTGAACCACGTGATGCTTGTCCTCCCAATCTAGCATATCTATCTTTCTTTTTTTCCCCTCTTCTCTTCTCTCCTGGTTATGTTAAAATTGGGTCAGATCCCCTCTATAGAGGAGGGTAGCTTCAACTATGGTGCATTCAGTAACAGGAAAGACCAAAGGCTGTTCCCATCCCTATCAGGAATATGCCAAAAACATCTGTCCTTTTAATACACACATCTACATATTACCCTAGCTCCCTATGCTTTCCTGAAAATAAGTCATATATGCCTATACTTGCACATCATGGGCGGTATAGGATATAGGACTTTTGCACTGGGGAATAAACATGGCCCAATGCCCATCTTGATATTCTGCAACTTCAGAGAATCATATGTATTATCAGATGACTTAAAACCAATTGAGTATTCTCAGAGAAAACTACAGATACCTCTAACCAATTTGGAAATGAGCCATGCGAGCTTATTTCTGTATTATGGGTTTGTTTTATCAAATAAACAATTTTGGTTTAGTTTGTATTTGTGGCTTTTTTAATGGAAAGTGAATGCATTTTCATTATCCATCCCTCGTACTTTAGTTCTCAAAAATGCCATTGCGCCAAAACATTTAAGAAAAACTTAACCTGGACAATGTACAACTTCTCAAAAAGGGGAAATTACAAGTTTTCAACTATAGAACTAAGAGCAAATATAGATTACCACAAACATGAGGTAAACATTTCTGAAACTTCTACAGCAAACTTACAATGAGAAGGCAATTAGTGAAGGTAAAAGAAACAAAAATATAGCCCAAGTACACTGCATATCACACCGATAAATCCCATATCGAGAATGTCCAGAACCGGTTGAGATTAGCCAAAAACATCCCAACACAACTCTCAATGAAGCAAGACCATAAAATCCTTTGCAGCAAAATACCAGTAAGATGTGTCTCATGGGAGATTCACATAAGCATACAATTGAAATTTGAGAAGAGCTTCACATAATCATACCCATTAAGGTACATGAGAACAGGCTGAAGTAAGATTCTGCTGTCAATGAATCCTACAGTTGGAGAAACAAAACTTCGAATGAATGCAGTGAGCGCCTCAACTGCAGCCGACCAAACGCTACAAATGGATAGTAAACAAAAGTGAGAGTAAACACTGCATAGACAGCACACAGAAAGAATATACGGAAATTGCATAACTAAGTAGTAGGCACAATGAACAATGTAATGATATGGAGAACTGGATCGCTGAGAATAGGAATAAGAAACAACAAGAACAAGTGTTTGATGTCAGAGAATCCAACAGATAAAAAAGCACCATCCAATGTTCAAAAGAGCAAATTAGGCTGCCTGGTAGGCTGGTGGGCGCCTAGTTTCCTAGATGGCAAAGAGGAGGGGGAGCTCTATGAGAAAAATAGGGGGATTTGTGTGGTTGAAGAAGAGTAGGGGGTTTGAGGGGTACAAAAAGAGCAGGGGAAGGGGAGTGGTTCCACCTCAAATCCTTCATGCTATTAGCGCCACATCAAACCCTTCACATGGTAAATGCTACATAAGCCTATGTTTTAGAGCTGTGTCAACAATTTCAAAATTAAACAACCCACCATAAGCCTCTCTCTCTCTCACACACACAGACACACTCATACACACGCACACACACAAACACACACGCAACACGTGGGCAAGTACGCCTTCTCATGCTCACACACAAACACACATACACAAAGAAAATAAAGAAAGTCCTGAGTGTGACATGGTTATAAAGATCCCAAAGCAGGGCTTTGGCTCTTAACAAACCATTTTATGGGGCACTGTAAGATAGAGGCTGCTGCATTTTTGATGATGATGAACCCACCATAAGGCTCTATCTTACAGCTGCAAAACACTGCTGCATTCCTTTCTTCTCTGTCTTCTTCTTCTTCCACTTTCATACGGACCAAGGCACCTGCCTAGGTGGCCCGTTGGCCTAAAGGCAGTTGCACATTAAGCACCCGCCTAGGGTTATTCATTATAGGATCGGGCCTTGAACGCCTAGGCAGCAATGCGCCCTTATTTTTTAACACTATTACCATCCATTTGTATGTCAGAACTAGTATGAGCGGCACTTTTCTGATCCCCCCCCCCCCACTGCAGAAATTCTCTCTTTAAATATTTCATTTCAAATTACTCGTAAATTTAAAATAATGACATTTTATTTCAAACAATAAAGAAGTGTCGACTTAATAGGTGAAGAAATTGCAGCAGAACCAAATTATGTCACTACTATAATGAAGTGAAGATTATGTATTGACATATCAATGTTGACTTACCGTACTTTAGATGTTAGGTCTTCAGATTGCTTCAGTTGGGAAGCTGGATTTCCACCAAAAGGTACAGTCCACAGGGAGAGGATATCAAACACTTGATCTTTCAGCTCCTGGATGGATTAAATAAGGCTTCAAGTAAGATCATAAAAGCAAAATGTATAGCATATAAATAACAAGCAAATAACTAATACCTCCTTCGTAATGGAGGTTATTACAGAAGCTAACAGAAGCCACCCAGCCTCTTTCTCTGCAATAGCAGCAACAGGGTTTCGACTAGATTCTGTCAGCATTTTCCTGGCAGCTTCAAATACTGATTTGGGTAACCTGCAGAAGTCAATCATAGTTAAGTCCAGGTAATATTTTTCTTTTTCTACTTGAAATGTTAACGGCGGGAATGGAAGGCGGGAAGTTACGTCGAGGCATCCGCTCCCAACCACTGATGCCCCAAACCCATTCCCAAGTCCAGGTGATAAATTAAGCACATTATGCATGTAAGCTTAACCTGACCAATTCATGGAACATGGGTCTCATATGAAATTTAAATCTTCAATATCATGCATGGACAGTTAAATGAACAATTATTAAACATACCACTTAATGTGATGTTTATGTGATACGATAGAAATGTGCAGGATGATTAATGAGGAAACAAAAGTTGTACAATTGTACATGAACTGCAACAGACGTCTAAGAGAAACACAAGCCAGTAATTGTTAAGAAAGCATAGCTGGATGTTAGGACATGCATTTAGTATAGAGGATTGAAAAATGCTTGTGTATATTAGTGTGCATATGCATGCTCACAGGTATATGCAGAACACACAAACAATACATAATTGTATATGCAGACTGCACAATCAACAAGTCAATCATAATATCCTCACATGGATATCAAGATACATAGCTCACGCATGCACACACAAGGAAATGCCACAATCAATTTTCCCAGTTAGAACTTTACCCAATGGATTTAACAATCTCAACCAAATCAGATCTAAGAACTAGTACTCACAATTAAGACAGGGACCCAAACAATGGAATGAATATGATAATGCACACAAACATGCAAGGCACACACATGTGGAGCCACACATATGTAGCTTTCTGTCTCAATGTATAAGTGTACAAATGGGAGCATATGTGCATGCATCATGAGTTAAGTGTAATTTTGTGATGAAAACATAGGTCAGCTATCTTGATCTGTCCTCCAGAAAGAGTTTAAGGTCTGAAATTTGCTCCGCCGCCAGGAACACATCCATGCATCTTTTTCCATTCATGGAGAATAATACAAACCCTAGGTGGGCCATACAGTCCTAGGATTGCCTTTTAAAATTCGTCTAAAATAAAAACTGAAGTTCTTTTGACAGTCCATAGGGTGCAGCAATGGAAACAAAACCTCACCTTGTAAAAAACGGAGCACCATATGTAAGCCTGTTCTTTCGCAATGCTGTGGAACTTATACTACTTTAGGAATTTCTGTCCTCCATGGAAATTTTAAATTTTCTGGCAGAAAATAGAACTCTTCAACTGTTCATAGCTAGAAAATTATTTGGGTTGCAATTAATGCATGCTGCTTTTTCTAAATATATGCAACCTGATTTTATTAATACAACGAAGGTTTCCAGAAACCCTCTAAACATTTTTATATTTGCAGAGTTCAGAAACATTTATGTAGTTGGATTTCATTAAGGGTTTTACATGAAATTTTAATAAAACCAGGAAACTGAAACATTCATGAAAAAAAATTATGTGCATTATATTAAAAAGGAAAGTATACACTACCCATATCAATATAGAAAACCTGTGGTCATCACCATCCAATCAACTGAAGAATGGCAATGGATAATTTTGATCATGTTATTTTCCTGTGGGTCCCACTCATGGCTTCAAATGATCGAACCAATGTCAAAATTTTCAGATTTGGCTGCCTAGGCGGGCATCTAGTTTCCTAGGAAATCCAAGAAGAAAATGGCAAGAAGAAGGGAGAGCTTCTTAAGAAACAACATGATTTTCTTTGATACACGGGTATTAGGCTTCTGCCAAAAAAGTACTATTTATCTTCTCACATTTAATATGGGAGATTGACACCTTTGTACTCACCATCCTCCCATACTTCTGTAATAATACAATCACCATGATTTCATTATTCCTTAATAATACCCATAGTTGCTAGAGACGGGAGCGGGATCGGTTCGGGATTAGCCGAACTGCCCTATAGTGGAAGCTCCCTAAGGTTAGGATTAGCGTTTGTACAATGATCAAGACAAGGAACAAGATCCTTAGGTTTATGAGAGCGAGATCCCATGTCAATGGGTTCAATGTTTTGACTAGCAGGAATCTAAGCTCCACTATACATAAAAATGAGGTTAAGTAGCGCTGGTACGAGTTCCCTTGGTTAAGAAATCGAGGTTTACGTATGTCATATATCAGGGTTCCTCTTGTTCTTATATCGAGATTCTTAACTATGTTTGGCATATTTTTTAAGTCTTAAGTATCACTCTCGGGAATCATTAACTTTGGCAAAACCTGGCCGGGAGAAGAGTCTAAAGCCGCACCACGATAAAGAAGTATTAGCGTCTTATCTTGCTGCGCTTGAGAGATTGTACCAAGAGGAGAATGAGAGAAGCATAATACAACAACACATTAGTGATTCTGTAAGTAATAAAGGAGTCTTCTTACTTCCAACATCCATTTCCAACAGAGGAACAATGTCAATTGTTTCATGGTGAGATCCATATGATGTTGGGGATCCTGAATTATATTCACTAGCGGTTAAGGTGTTGTCTCAAAGTGTCAACTTGTCATGTGCTAAGAGCTGCTGGAGTAGGTATAGTTATATTCACAGTGTTAAGCGGAACAGGTTAAATGCTCAACGCTCCAAGTTACTAGTTCATGTTTACTACAATGACAAGTTGTTAAGTAGATTGCGATCAGACTATGTAGAGAAGTACAAAGGATGGTATTTTCATCCTGATGATGATGATGTTGAGGCATTAGAAGCATTAGGTGACCACCTTGATGCTGATGATGAGGCTCGTCGCAGTAGTCCATTACCAAGGCATGTCTCTCCCACTACATCTTCAGGCCATGACACAAGTTTAGCATGTACCATTCCCTAGAAGTCCCAAGCAAACCCAGAATCCTACCACTAAAGGGTCATCTTCTTCGAATGTAGTTTTCTCTGCTTCCATTGTTTCTCAAAGGAGGGCTCTCCTAAGGGGTAAGAGGACAAGATGAACTACTCTCTCTCTCTCTCTCTCTTTCTGACACAAAAAAAGCTTTTTAAAGCTTGAAATGAATGCATATATTCTCATCTCACAACTAAGAGGATTCCTCATTGTGATTTAAAACAATAGGACATCATAAATGTAAGATTTGAAATGAAATTTATATTCTCACAACTAAGAGGGATGGCTTACACAATAGGACTTAATAAAACAATGGGTCACTCTAAAGTAGGCCTAGTTCAAATTAAGAATCTAAAATAATGAAACTTCGTGATATGCGAAAAAGGGACTGGATTTTACCATCATGGAACTTATGATTCCTAAATAAGGGGAAATTGGGACAATGACAATCTCTAACCTGGTATCATCTGTTAATTAAAAGAGATCCTACAAACATAGAACCCAAGATTTTAATTTAACAAAACCTTGGACTATGGTTGATGGGAGTGGGGATCTATTTCGAAATGGAACTGGATTACACTGATGGATGGAACGTGGTCCCCTTTTTGGGGAGTAAGATCCCAAAATCTAAAAACCGGGGACCCTACAAGATCCTATCCAGGAACCTTAGGATCGAGGATCCAGGGCAGGATCGTCACCCTACCCACAAGGTTCCCTTAACTATGATAATACCCCATCTCAATCTTTGCAAGCATGTGCACATATCCTATCAACATACATGGCACAAGGAAAAACCATGAAGCAGAAAACATCACCAGAGTAGGAGCACTATCAGTAGACCTTACTCCTAACAGTGGGACTCCTTAGCACCTCTCAAAGCACAGGTCACCCTTTTTGTATTTGGTCTTTCTGCACAAAGCTTCATCTTTGTTTAATTCATATGTACAGGGTCCCTTGCCCTTGTTTTGTATAGTTTAAGTTAGAAAGCATTTTATGGGAAGTGTATAGTGCACCCATCAAATGGGCTGCCTAATTCTTTTTGTAACTTCTCACAAGCAATAAAACAGTTAACTTATTCAATAATAGTACTCCATATATTTCTCCTCATTTAATGCATTTTCTGACCACGGTCATCTCATGCTTCTACTGTAATAATAGCCCCATCTCTCTCTCTCTCTCTCNNNNTCTCACTCTCTCTCTCT